AAAACTAACTTCTGCAGCATTTTTAAGTTTGGATGATGGTAACAGAGGTTATAAGAGAAGACAGCACAGACGCCATGAGTATTACCAAAAGGGGAGTGTCGGGCAGCAAGGAGAACCTTTATTGATTTCTCAAATTCTGGGAACCCCCTGACTTCTCACAACTCTTCAAGGTAAATACATACATTAAATTCTAACAATATCCCAGAGTCATACACTTAAAGGTTTAGCATTTGCTACAAATCTGTGGTATATAAATCCAAGCCACAAAAGCATTGTTAAAGTTTCTTACACAGCACTCAATGCTTGTCTACTCCCTTTTTATTTCTGACTTTTCTGTTGCTTCAGTTCTATCTTCAAAATAAAATGAAAAGTTAAATGAAATCAAGGGTTAGCACAATCTTGATTTATTTATTTCTGAGGCACTGTCATTTTAAGTTAGATTACCTGCAGCTTAATTCTTAAATTTAAGTGATTGCTAGTGTTTAAAATGCAAAGATTTAACGTATTTTATGTATTTAGCAATTTCAGTTATAAAACATTTAGTGGATGAATTATGACAGTAAAAAAAAAAAAAAAAAAGCAAAACATTTTGAACCTTCAATTTGAACCTATGCTATTGAATCTTGGAAGATTTGACCCATAAGATATTTAGAACTTGTCACTGGCTTTTGCTCTGCTATCACTTTAAGCAGTTAATAACTGTTGGTAGAATGATTAAAAGTATTTATGGAATTGGATTATTAATATATAGAAAAATCATAGACAGTAAGAGATTCCTGAAATATCTGGGTGCATATCTTAATTTACTCATTATTTGCTAAGTCAGAGATGACACACTGATGTCCAGCAAGTGAACCGCAGGCTGACTTTGAGACACTGATTCCTGTATCCTCAGAGCAGCCAGGCTATGGTCTCGGACTTCGGGTCCCTGGACTGTTCTCCTAATATTCACCATCTGGCCATCTCCAGAGAAACCAGTTGCAGAGCACATGGGTCAGCCTATCGAAAACAAAGGATCCATAGAACTGCTAGATAATTTTGCCTTTTAGGTGTCCAAGAATAGGATAACAAGTCTGAGATCAGACTGGCAGGAGGTGTGCGGGCAGTGCAGGTCTGGAAGAAATATTGGTACTGGGCCAGGCGTGGTGGCTCACGCCTGTAATCCCAGCACTTTGGAAGGCTGAGGTACATGGATCACCCGAGGTCAGGAGTTTGAGACCAGCCTGGCCAACATGGTGAAACCCTGTCTATACTAAAAATACAAAAATTAGCCAGGCATGGTGGTGGGCACCTGTAATCCCAGCTACTCGGGAGGCTGAGACAGAAGAATTGCTTGAACCTGGGAGGTGGAGGTTGCAGTGAGTTGAGATCACGCCACTGCATTCCAGCCAGCCTGGGGGGCAGAGCAAGACTCTGTCTCAAAAAAAAAAAAAAAAAAAAAAAAGAAAAGAAAGGAAAAAGAAATAATGTTACAGTAGGAGCTAGTCAGGTATGAGCAGGGCAAGAGAAGACCCCACCCCAACAAAATCCAGGAGTGTTGGGCAACCATCAGATGATGGTCAGGCTGTTGTTAACTGGTTCGTTAAAGCAGTAATTGGTCACAGCTGGTGCAAGGGAAAGGCAGGCTCCTAATAGATAGAAAACACCTGAAACTGATCAGCAGCTTCCCGATAAGATCTCAGGAGTACGGAGAAGTAATGCAAGATCCCGGAAGTATGCCAACGTATAAAATTCCAAGTCAAGAGGTCAAGCTGGGCACTGGGTTTCTCAAGTTGCCCGCTTGGCCCTCTTCCAAGTTGTACTTTCCTTCTTTTCTTTCCTTCCTTTCCTTATTGTTAAAAAGCTTTTTAATAAACTTTCACTCCTGCTCGGAAACTTACCTCTGTCTCTCCTTCTGCTTTATGCCCCTCAGTTGAATTCTTTCTTCTGAGGAGGCAAGAATTGAGGTTGCTGCAGACACCTATGGATTCGCTGCTGGTAACTTAGGGTAATTCCAATCTCTGCCACCACTAACAAAGTGCTACCAAAAAAAAAAAAAAAACTCTCCCAAAGCAATCAACTTTGAAATAGACAAAATAATTAATAAATGAACCAACAAGTTGTTGGAAACTTTACATAGAAAAGAATACGTACTAACAAATTTCAAAATTAATTAAAACTAATTAAAAACTAAAACATAATTAATCAAAATTAAGGTGCAAAAAATTGGAGTGGCTTAACTACCCTTTTTAGAAAATTTATCAGGAATTAAAATGAGTTAGCCATGTTACATCAAGTCAGTATTTCCATGGTAAATTTCATTTCCATTGGTTACAATTATGGCTAGAATCCTTGTATTCGAAAATAAGAGTCAGAACATCTGGGGAATCATAACAGGATCAAAATGGGAAGTATCACGCCTATAATCCCAGCACTTTGGGAGGCCGAGGTGGGCGGATCACCTGAGGTCAGGAGTTCAAGACCAGCCTGGCCAACATGGTGAAACCCCATCTCTACTAAAAATACAAAAATTAGCCAGGTGTGGTGGTGGGAGCCTGTAATCCCAGCTACTCCAGAGGCTGAGGCAGGAGAATTGCTTGAACCCAGGAGATGGAGGTTACAGTGAGCTGATATCACATCATTGCACTCCAGCCTGGGTGACAGAGCGAGACTCTGTATCAAAAAAAAAAAAAAAAGGAGTTGCATTGTTCACCGACGACTTTGCGAAACCTGTAAGATGGAGAAGAATTAAGAGAGAGGGCCTCCTTTTTCTTTCTTTCCTTCCTTCCTTCCTTCCTTCCTTCCTTCCTTCCTTCCTTCCTTCCTTCCTTCCTTCCTTCCTTCCTTCCTTCCTTCCTTCTCTTTCTTTCTGCTTTGTCTTGTCTTGTCTTGTCCTGTCCTTCAGCCTCCCTCTGTTGCCCAGGCTGGAGTGCAGTGGCACAAGCACAACTCACTACAGACTCAACCTCCCTGGCTCAAGTTATCCTCCAGTCTCAACCTCCCAAGTACCTGGGACTGCAGGCACAAGCCAATACACCCAGCTAATTTTTAAGGTTTTTTTGTAGAGACAGGGTCTTGCCTTGTTGCTCAGGCTGATCTCAAACTCCTAGGCTCAAGCAATCCTCCTACCTTGGCCTCCCAGAGTGCTGGGATTACAGGTGTGAGCCACCACACTCAGCCCGGACAGGGCTTCCTACCACTCCCCACCAGCATCTCTACTGAGCCCACGAACTGACCTGTATTCCAATACCACTTAGTCCAGCCTATGAAACAAGCCATGACTCTCATCAATTCTTCCCTTCCTTAGAATGAGCCTTGATGCTGTTCTTAAAGTAAGTCATATTTGATGTCCTTCACCCATTCTGACTGATCTTAGACTCGGGTGCCAATGTTTCCCAACCCATGGTTCCCATCTATTCATCAAATCATCCAGTCAGAAGAAAAGACAGTTAATTCATGCTCACAATGTATTCACAGAACAGCCTTTACCTCCTGCTTCTTACTGTTTACCCACCCATTGTTTCACAGAGCTCAGGTTTGGGTGAGTGATAACAAGAAAATAGATAAACGGAAATGGGTGGGTGGTGGGGGTATAGGAGAGAGTGAGCAGGAAGAAAAAGATTGGAGACACGTAGTACCTTTTTTTTTTTTTTTTTTTTGAGACAGAGTCTTGCTCTGTCACCAGGTTGGAATGCGGTGGTGCGATCTTGGCTCACTGCCTTCCAGGTTCAAGCGATTCCTCTGCCTCAGCCTCCTGAGTAGCTGGGACTACAAGCCTGTGCCACCACGCCTGGCTGATTTTTTTGTATTTTTTAGTAGAGACGGGGTTTCACCATGTTGGCCAGGCTGATCTCGATCTCCTGACCTTGTGATTCACCCACCTTGACCTACCAAAGTGCCGGAATTACAGGTGTGAGCCATGGCGCCCGGCTGTGGTACCATTTTTTAAAATCAGAAAACAGTAACAGTGAAAACACTGGATATCTGGATTTTCTAAATAATAATATTTGTTTGCACATACGCTTTATTCACCTTAAGTTCTTGCTACCCTTCACTTTAAGACAAAATATTTTATTTCACTGGGATTATCATCATGAAATATATATATTTTTTGACATGGAAACTGGAAATGTGGATTCTGTAACAATAATGACTCTGTTTATAGCCGTAATGTTAATCAGTTCCATTCTACTGCTAGACTACAGTATAGTAAAGTAAAACCAAAATTTTACATGTGTCCTCAGTGTATCCTTACTTTTTGTACTGTTTCTATCTTCTAGATGTACTATTTTCTGAACACCAGAATTCAGCAGAGCACCTGGCACCAAACAGGATCGACAATCATTTAATAAGTAAATGAATGAGTGATGTCCATACAACCTAGACATGACTGACATTCACCCTTTTCTTTCTTTCTTTCTTGAGAAGGGGTCTCACTCTGTCACCCAGGCTGGAGTGCAGTGACCTGTCATGGCTCACAGCAGTCTCAGATTCCTGGGTTCAAGTGATCCTCAGCTTCCTGAGTAGCTGGGACTACAGGGGTGCACCACCACACCTAGCTATATTACAATTATTTTTGTAGAGAGGAGGTCTTGCTCTGTTGACCAGTCTGGACTCAAACTCCTGACCTCAAGTGATCCTTCTGTCTTGGCCTCCCAAAGTGCTGGGATTACAGATGTGAGCCACTTCGCCAGCCCACTGTTTTATTTTTGTGAGTATATTGTGGGTTTATATTTATAAATTGGGTGGGGAGAAGATCCCCTTGCTTCTTGAGATCATTTTACCTTTCTTGCTTAGAAAGAAAGGTAAATAATAATAAAGTATAGGTAAATAATAATAATAATAAATAATAAAGGTAAATAATTATTTACCTTTCTTGCTTAGAAAGGTAAATAAATGATTTGAAAGTGCTTATTGGAGGGTAGTTTTTTTTTTTTAAATGGAAAGTGACTCAAAAGTGAAGTCTCAGTTGAAGACCTCTTTTTTTTTTTTTTTTAAGTCTTACTCAAAAGGAAGTGAGTATGAGGTGAATTGCATTAATCTAAAGTACTGCAGAGATGAAACTTAAAGCAGGAAGCAACATACCATGAGTGTACTGGAAGGGAACACATTTGTGTCATGTGAAGAGACATGACAAAAACAGCCCTTCTTAAATTATTTGTGGCAATAGTGATCACATTCATTTTAATTTTGCCGGAATATTTCAAGATACCGAAAGGTGAGTTTGTAATTGTAATCTAGCTTTGCCTTCTTAATTTTAAAAAATTAGTGTCAGCTAGTGGTTACAGAAAAGATCCTCTTTTTGGATACATGCTGCATAGGCTGAAATTCTAGATCTGAAAAACTAATAAAATAAAACAAGATTGCAATTGTAGTTGACTGTTATATAGTACAGTAACCTAATTCATAGTACTTAATTATCGTAGCATACCTAAAAATGAAAATATTTAAAATCTGTAGTCAAGATTTCAGACATTGAGATTACAACAATCTCATCATGATTTTGCTCTTTGAAACACTTTCTTCAAAGCAGCTTTTTTGTTGTTGTTGTTGTTGTTGTTGTTGTTGTTGTTTTGTGGGATGGAGTCTCTCTCTGTCGCTCAGGCTGGAGTGCAATGGCCCAATCTTGGCTCACTGCAACCTCTGCCTGCTGGATTCAAGCAATTCTCCTGCCTCAGCCTCCCGAGTAGCTGGGATTATAGGCGCCCACCACCACATCTGGCTAATTTTTGTATTTTTAGTAGAGACGGGGTTTCACCATGTTCAGACCAGGCTGGTCTTGAACTCCTGACCTCGTAATCCACCCGCCTTGGCCTCTGAAAGTGCTGAGATTACAGGCTTGTGCCACCGAGCCTGGCCCAAAGCAGCTTTAAGTATGCGTTTACTTTCTGGAATTCTTTAATGAAGAAAGTGATATTTATTGTGTTAAAAATTCTAGAATTCCCTCTACTACAACTATTTCACACAGATAACTTACTGTCACCTTTTGACAAGAAAAAGCGTTTATGTATTTTGAAAATACAATTAAAATAAGATGGGTGCAAATTTAAACAGATGTGTGTTTATGTATTTGTAACTGGAGAAAAATGGAACAAAGTTAACTTTGTGAACATTTCAGAAAATTGTAATATAATCGCTGAAACCTAGATTAGGAAAATAAATAGGTATAAATTTAAACTATTTTGATATGCTAGCAAAGGACTTGCAAATGTATTAATGTGAGTGTTCAGATGGTAATTGTGCTCCCTAGCACTTAAAAAGAAGGAAGGGTGAAAAGAAAAGGCTGTATTCTATCATTAAATAGTCTTTATATGAATTGGATTAAAATCAGAGAAAAACTCATATTTGATGATTTGCTGCAATGAATATTTATTGTTGCATATACGTAATGCTAAGTAGCCAGATAAAAATATTTTTGCTAATTATATTTGATGACATATTTCAGTGATTATTTGATGTTGCATTTACATGATGCTAAGTCGTGAGTTAAAAATATTTTTGCTAAATAAACACTATGACTACAATTTGGTTTTCTGGCATTATGTTACTTAGATGAAGCTATCATAGCACATATTTTCAATGCTTGATTCCACTGGGTTATAAAGAGAATAGTTAGAATAAAGATAATCTAATTTTAAGATATTGTGGGCTGAGAGTAAGCTCATTTAATAGTTTTCCAGAGTAGGTTCTATCTATATATCTATCTAGCTATCTAACTAGCTATCTACATCTAGCACCTCTTAAAAATCAGGTTGGATCTAATAAAAACCAGGTAATCATCCCCAAAATGACTTAATTAACTATTGGTTAGTACTTTATGAGAACTGATGGCTACAGGAGCACGTTAAAGATTTTCATTTTGGGGCAGATACATAGTTCTTTTAGTTTTTGTTTCTCAAAGTAAGAAGCATGGCCTTCTGGGGCAGTGGTAAGTAGAAAGAAGACAGATGAAGCACAGAGAAATTATTAGTGGGGGACAGATGGGAGCCCCTTCTATTGGTGGGTAGAAGAAAGAGCTCTTATAAAATCCATGTTAGCCAAACTTCCTTGGCCTAATAGTAATGTGTCAGTGTTCTTCTTCACCCTGTCAATAATCAACCATCATTTATGATGATGTTTGTTCTCTTGCTTTCAAAACTGGTTACATCAGCTCCCAATACCTTTACTGCCTTCCCAAACTTAAAATAGCTGTTTCTCTTCTCCTGGTCCAAGAATAGCATAGATATTACTCCAAATTCTTTCTGGGTTGATGGATTTTTTTTTTTTAAGAGACAGGGTCTTGCTATGTTGCCTAGGCTGACTCCGGGGCTCAGGCAATCCTGCCTCAGTCCCCAGGCAGCTGGGACTACAGGCACATACCACCACACTCAGGTGGATTTATTGGGGAATTTTGTTTCAAAGGAACCCTACTTGGGGGGCCAACAAACAAAAATGTTCAAAAACCACTGTCTTCTTTTACATTATTTAGTGGTAGAAGGAATTTTGCACAGAGCTGCCATAAACAAAAAGTTGATTACTAGGCAAAATGTTATACACATGCAATTGTGCAATAATAATAAAATAATAATAATAATAAAAACGATTATATTTTTATAATGGTTTATGGATCACCAGGAACATCTTTTTGTAGCCTCATTTAATATATCCCATATTGATTAAATGAAGAAAACTTGGACATAATTGTCTTGGTTTTTAAAAATTAGTTCTTAATCACAATAATAGTTGACCTATGAAATGAGTTAAATTGACAACTAATACTAAATAAAATAGCTAGTAAAATGACTTGATGATAAGCAAGAGTGTTCTAGAAGTGCTACAATTAACCTTGTGAAATTCCCCTGTCTAGTCTTACTTTGTTAGTTTGTCTTTTTTTTCTTCATTTTTTTCTCATGTTCTATTCACTTTAATTTCTAAGATAAATATTATAAAATAATTTTACTTATAAATTATTCACTGATACCCTGTCTTTAACATGTCAAATGAATTCAAAAGGAATCTTAATGAGGAATAATATACTCATGAGGTTTAATAGATTTGATTTCAAAATAATAAACCCTCTGAAGTCCTAAGTTAAAAATAAAGCACCTTGTTTGATCATTTTTCATCAAGAATGTATCTGAGTCTCTGAGTAATTATTAGTAGGAATATTCCATTATCACAATTACACAGTATAAGCTATTTAGTTTTAACTTTACCAAAAAAGGGAGCTACTTCAACACTGTTTGAGACTTATAATGGGTTTGCATTGGCTATGCACTACTAGCAAGATAACCTATTTTACAGCAGTGTTTTTTAACCTTTCCATTTATTTGAAAGGCAGCTAATATATAGTAGTTAATATAATGGTTTGATGCATTTGTATTACATGTAGATAATGGAGATACAAAAGGGAGTGGTGGATATATTTTGATTCAGAGCTTCTTGCAATTAGGGGAGCTGGCTTACTCCCAAATAAGAGACTTTCCAAGCTGTTTTTGTTGGACTTACAGTGTTTAAGAGAGAGAGACTTGGCTAACTCTTGTGTAAATCCCAGTCATCTTTTATTTATTTATTCTTTCACCTGTGATAGAAACCTGGGGCTACAAAAATGAAAGGCAACTCTTCCATCAAGGAATTTTCAGTCGGGGGGAATGACTGACTGGCAAACAACTAAATAAAATACAGGAATTAACTAAAACAGGGATGTAAACAAGATGCGATGGGAACATACACATTGCTTCCACATCAGTCTCTGGGAGGACATTCTTTGTATTTCCATTTGCAAAGAGAAATAATTGTCAGAGTTTGAATGATCAGCTAATATGCCTTCTTATCTGTTTGCAAAAGCACTTTTCAAGAGAAGAAATGATGATTATTAAATAAAATATTCTCATATCGGTATATCAATAGTTCCTGAAAGAGGAAATTGCAGTGAGTCACACAAGTGTACTCCCAATGATTTGTGGTGATACAGGCTAGGAACAGCACAGATGAGTCTGGGTGCGGTGGCTCACGCCTGTAATCCTAGCACTTTGGGAGGCTCAGGCAGGTGGATCACCTGAGGTCAGGAGTTTGAGACCAGCCTGACCGACATGGTGAAACCCTGTCTCTATTAAAAATACAAAAAAATTAGCTGGGGCTAGGGGGCGGTGTAATCCCAGTACTTTGGGAGGCCGAGATGGGTGGATCATTTGAAGTCAGGAGTTCAAGACCAGCCTGGCCAAAATGGTGAAACCCTGTCTCTACTAAAAAACTAAAAATTAGCCGGGCATGGCAGCATACACCTGTCATCCCAGCTACTCTGGAGGCTGAGACAGGAGAATCACTTGAACCCGGGAGGCGGAGGTTGCAGTGAGCCGAGATTATGCCACTGCACTCCAGCCTGGTGGACAAAGGGAGACGCCTTCACAAAAAAAAAAAAGAAAAAAAAGGAAAGAAAGAAAGAGAGAGAGAGAGAGAAAGAGAGAGAGACAGAGAGAGAGAGAGAGAAAGAAAGAAGGAAGGAAAGAAAGAAAGAAAGAAAGAAAGAAAGAAAGAAAGAAAGAAAGAAAGAAAGAAAGAAAGAAAGAGAGAAAGAAAAAAAGAAAATTAGCTGGGCATGGTGGTGGCGTGTGCCTGTAATCCCAGCTACTCTGGAGGCTGAGGCAGGAGAATCGCTTGAGCCTGGGAGGCAGAGGTTGCAGTGAGCTGAGATCACCCCATTGCACTCCAGCCTGGGTGACGGAGCAAGACTCTGTCTAAAAAAAAGAAAAGAAAAGAAAAAGAAAAAAGGAATAGCACAAATGAAAACACCTCAGACCTAATTTTATCTAGCTGTTTTGACTTCCTCACTTTCTTTTAAGAGCCAAACTGACATAAACTCTGTTTACCAGCTTTCATTTCCCCTTCTATTTCACACTTTGTGATGGAAATGGTGGTATAATGAACAGTGAAATTGAAGAAAACAAAGAATAAAGGAACTATAGGATAAACTGACATAATATGAGCATATGTTCACAGTGTTTAAGTCTATGTTATAAAGACCACCACATCAAGGGTAATTGCAATTAATTTCCTGAAAGTGTTATTCTAGTTCTCAAAAATGAACGCCCTTTTTTTTTATTCATAAATATTTAATACGTAATCCCCAGTAAGGCCTTATGACTATTCAAACAATTCTTTTTTAATTTTAACAAATACATTTACATGTGCCCGTAATATGCCAAGTACTTTGACATATATTTTACAAAACAATAATTC